TTAAGGATTCTAACTTTTTGAAAATTGGTTTCAAAACGATCTTTTAAAAAGTATTCCCAATAACAGTGTTATTGTCAGCTACCACAGCCGTCTGCTATGTAAAGCAACAGCCTCAAACTGAAATCCAGGATTATTTGTAAGAAAATGATATTTATTTTGAATTCAGTTAAAAAAGAGCAACTTTTGGTTAGTTAGTTAGTCAGATCGTCGAAATGGCACTGAAATGTTAATAGCTACGGGCATATATATCTGGTGACACAAGAAAGTGGGAACACTCTATTACTTTTAAACGGTTAGACGCAGCGATTTGAAATATATTAAATACTAATATACTTAATATAATATAATTTGACACTGTTCCTTTGGATAAAATATTTTATTATGAGGATGAATATAAAAGACGGCGATTTGATATCAACCTTACAAAAACCCACTACCTCAAAGTGGGGGAGGGACAAACTGAAGATCCAGAACTACGTAGGCGTAGATAATACAAGTGTTTAGGAAGTATTATATCGGAAGAAGGAAGCTGCATGAAGGACATACACAGATTTCAATAGCTCAAAAAAGTGATCGGTGTGCTAAACGTTTCAAAGGTCAAGTAAAATATCCGTCCACACAAAACTAAGGGTTTATTAGAGGAAAAACAAGACGGGTGTATAACAACATTAAAACAAGACAGTTACTATGGTATGACACGTGAAAAGAATAGGAGAGGAGAGATGGCGAAAAGGGGCAATGGAGTATTGTCCTCAAAACAGAAGAAAAATACCTACAACAAAATTCTTTAGCGTAGCCTAGCACCCCAGTGTGAACAACCAATTTTTAAAACTTGCTCTTTTTTGCAACATTTAGGAATCACAAATTTGAAAAACCGTTAAATAATTTGCTCACAAGAAGGAATAAACCAGATCAGTACATAAATTTTAATAAAATAAAATCAATTTTCAGCTCTAAAAGTATATGAGTATAAAGCTTGTCCACATTTTAAGAAATAATATTTTTCCTGACTATAACCCTTCCCTAACTAAGTTCAACGCTACCTGTGAGGGAATAAGGTTCCCGTTAATAAAATTTGAAGCAGACGGTGTTTACCAGCAGTATTAACACGTTAATAAAATGATTTTTTTTTCATTTTAAATGCTTTATTTTATTAAATTCCTCTTAGTTTATTCTTCACAAACGCCCGAAAAAGCCGTTTCTATGGTCATCTATGGTGAGATTTTCCAAATTTTATAAAATGCAAAATATTCTAAATTAAATGTGTTTTTTTTTTATCAAAAAGGCAAGAAACTATACAAATTCATCATGACTAAAAGAAATATGGGATAATAGGCCAAATATCATCCAAAGGGCGCTTTTCAATTGAACCTTTTACAAAGCAAACAAAAACATTAAGAAACATTCGCAGGTCCATATGAAAGCCTTATCATTACAATAAAAAATCGTTCGCATTATCAAAAATGCATATTTCTACCCTTTGTTGATAATTAAATAAGGATAAATTGTCTAAAAAATCTACTGGTAATTCGTCCATAAAAGCAGGAGCAGCTTTATATGGAAATGATCTTAGCTGTGTCATGTCGAAGTAAACATAGCAACTGTTTTTTTTTCTTGTAATAGTATTACTTAGCTCCCTAAAAAATACAAGTAAAATTGAAGAGGTGAAGGTATCTCAAAGATTTAAGCTTCAGCCTTTTATGTCTGCGTATAACGTCACTGATCCTGTCATTTTGGCATTTGACATGTTCTGTGAATCGTATGTTAGTATCGATCCACATTCCCAGATTTTTGTTTCTGATTTAACCTCTATACCAACCTCATTCTTTGTTAACTTTAAATGATTTTTGACATCGTTTACCTGTTTCTGTGGTCCAAATAATATGGCCAAGATTATGCGCGGAGGATATATCGAATAGAGAATTTAGTTCTCCGTTAATCTTTGTAGCTACATGCGGTACTTTATTTGCTTAAAATGAGTAAAGCAGTTGGGAATAGTCAGCATAATTATTAAGGGAAACGTAAGAAAAATCAGAGATATGTTGAGAAGAGCAAGGGAGGTTCTAGGCTTAATTCCTTTGTTAAATGCGAGGAACAAGTTTGGACCCTGACAGGGACAACTTTAACCTAAAGTACTGATAATTAAATTTGAAGATTTAACGAGACCATTGTCTTCTAAATGAACTGGAGGTCTATCAGTAACTTAAGGTTGTGTGATTTAGGCCAAGAGAGTTGTTCAGCGTCTTGAAATATTGAGTCGAAAATAACCTCACAAAAATTACATCATAACAAGGTAACAACCACAATAACGTGAAACAAGGGTGAAATTCCAAAAGAGATGCACAACAACAATCTGACATTTCATTTAAACTATTCCAGTAAACAATTTCGAAGTAACATAATATTCGCAAACTAAGTTTAATATTAATTAATTAATTGTTATTTCCAACTTTAAACTTAGTTTATTTCAAAGTTTATCTGAAACGTAGGGTTATAATTCCAAAATTTCTTAAATCTTATTTCTGTTAGAAATTAATAAAAAACAATCGGAAATATGATCCTTTATCCGATCAGATAGTAAACTAACTAACCAAAACGAGGGAGAAGGGGTCATTTTAACAAAACGATCAAGCAACTACTCATATTTTGCTTTACAAAACTCTTCTGAGTTATGACAATCTTGTATGTACACATACAAAAACAGAGTATAAAAAAACAGTAATAAATAAAATAGGTATTTTGTGTCAAAATTGGGTAGATTTCCGGTTTTGTGATCAATAAATACCCAACGTTTTTTAACTATCTGAGCGGGTACAGATATATAAAAGAATATGAAACGTTCTGAGTTCACTACATACACCTAGATAACTCTCATTTAACTTGTCCCTATATTTTTATTAGTTTTCTCTATAGCCCCAAGTAATAGTGCAATTATTTATACTGTGCCCACACAGTCGCAATAAAAGCCGACAAGTTTTTCGCTCTCTTGGCCAGCCGTGGGAACGTGTGCTAAGCACGCGCATTTGAAAAGCCACGGAATGGAGAGCTGCTCGAATTCAATGTCACGTTTCCAGTTGCCGCGTGTCAGGCAAAACCAATCATTTTCGTAGCAAAAACCGTTTCGGTTTGTATTCGGTTCTTCTGACGCTATGTTTCGTATATAGGGCGTTTCTTAAAGCGATTCTTTGAACCAAGAGATGTGCCTTAACTTAAAGGTGAAAATAATATAGTATATTAGCAAAAAATGTCGTAAATAAAATTGTTAGAAATAAAACTCATTACATAATATGTATATGTGTAAATATTTTGTAGTTATATTTTTTCCAGACTTTTTAAACTTTATAAATTGGTATTTATTAAAAGTTCTTTTTTTTTAATTAATTATGGATTATCGATTATCGAATTAAAAGCTACAGCAAAGCAATTTCTGAAATCTAGAAAATGTGTTGTCATTTTTGATCTGTTCTTCTTTCGAAAAAATGAGAATCCTTTTTCTTAAATAAAGTTCATTGCCAAACGGCTATTGCCGAATAGAGTTCGTCCATATTGAGTTTAATGATTTGTATTTGAGACGTCGCAAATTTGAACAAATTGCGTTACGTCTTTTGTATGCATTTCACTCGTTGTTTGTGCCAGCTGGAATTGTTGAAAGAAGACAGAACGTTGGGATTTAATCAACTTTAAAAGAAAATACTCATTTTTTTTATTACTTCTCTGTTTTATAAAATGAAGCAAAAGGCTAAAGGAATGTTAAGCAAAGTTAAGAAAGCGAGGTTATTGTAGAAATTTTATGTGTAGTGGTTTTTCGTATTTGTTTCATTCATATTGGAACTGCACTATTATTATGATAAGCTTTCGTCCTCTTACTATTTATAAAACTAACTAGACTAAATTAACCAACGAGAACCAATCACTAAAAGTAGATTCAATGTTAATTGGAAAACATTGCATAATCTTAAGATAACTGACCAGCCACTTAACTCTAGAAAATTAGTCCTGTAACTCACTGTGACTTATCAGTTTTCGTTAGTCGATCATCTTAATTTAGGTATCAAATATAACCTCAAAATTGTGTTAAAAAATTGTGACAACGGTTAAGATTGTTAGGTTGCTTATAGATTTCTATAGACTCTCGGATTTTTCGTAGGTAGAAGAATTGATGACATGCAGGAATTTTAGTTTTATCGAATAAAATTTTCAGTTTCAATCAAGCTCTGAAGAAGCCAATAGGATGATTGGCGAAACGTTGGCTAGTTCGACTCAACAAAAACCGACGCAGGAGGAATCCAGAAGTTTTATAAAAAGTATTACAGTAGCCTGTCGAAGTTTCTTTGAAAAATAAACTGAAGCTTAGCCCGTCCTTCGTGAGTCCCTAGTTATTCCAACTTTAAGGTCACGTGGGTGGCAATAGCCGCAGGCCACTAAAAATTCGAGTTTCTAGTTTTACGTTTTGTTTTTGGTATCCCGCTTCGAGATAAAAATTAAAAAACCGCATAGAAAAAAACACGTTCTAAAACCAAACCCTAAAAAAATCTCCCGGGAAGCCAGTTAAATTAGTAATTTTAGTTTAGTTGGGGCTAACTTAATAATAATAATAAAAATCTGTATTCCGTGTATATTCCTGATTACTGTGTAACACCAAATTTTTGAAAATTTAACTAGCCGACTCCTTAGAAGCGTTTTTCTAAAAAATAAATCTTGGGATTTACGAGAGAGGCTTAATTTTTAAAATCCAAAGGTGAAGGACGCATATATCAATTTCCGAACAGTATTTGGTAATTTACGCTTGCGATTTATCTAAAGTACGCATCTATAACGCGTAGCAAATTAAACCGATAACGGTTGACACAAAAATGCGAAATCAGCTACGCGGACTTTGAAGTGGTGTTTGATCTTCATCTCCAAAACATTATTGCTCCATAATTTAAATTCGATAATTGCAACATAAAGGGTCAAGTTCTCGAAGAAATCGCGTCGAATAAAACAACTGAATAAATTTTACTAACAATCGTATTTATTTAAAGAAATGCATTTTGAAAGTCAAAATTACACTTCGGTATCACAGTTACGCGCAATACGTGTTTTACAATATTACAGCTTCATCAATGGGCTTCGAATTTGGGTATTTTCAATCGCCATGGTGAATCACAGGTACCAACACAAATAGAAATATCACAACAACCTAAACGCTACGTAACAAATAAGTAATCTATATATTAACGATAAAGTTTAAAGCTTTCCGATTTAAGAGAGATCAATTTCTCTTATTGTCTAAATCTAACTAAATTGAGCAGCGACAGTATTTTGAAAGACAACGTGAGATTGTTTTACAAAATATTTACAAGGATCGGACCGTGGTCTCACCACGGTCGCCAAACCTCTTCTTTGGGTGCCATCTTGAGCAGGCCCGTCGTGGTGCAGTCGATCGGTTGCGACGGAGAAGGCGTGTGCCTCGACGAGGTTGACGATACCGGGGTCAGAGGCAAAGGATACGACGAGCTGGACTCCAAATTCGGCGAACCCGGCGGCGTGTAGGGGTTCGTCACTTGAATCACTAACGGCGACACTTTATCCATTTCGTTCAAACGGACGCCGAGGTGGGTCATAAGCTTGGTACCCAGATGGATGTCGACCCCGGGAGTGGACGCCAGACAACGGGAAACTTCGTTTGCGCAGTGCGTGTAACCCGCTCTAAATCTGTCCGCGTCTATCACCGGATTCGTCGACAGCCTTTGCTGACGGCGCAGTTTGTGAAGATGACGTACCGTCAGTTCCAAAATATCCGCCTTTTCCAGCTTGGAAACGTTCTCGCCCTCGCTCTGCAGCGCCGTAACCATGAGTTCCTTCAACTCGTCCAAGCAACGATTGATCCGCGCTCTACGTTTGCGTTCGAGCATCGGTTTCATCACTTTCCTATACTGATAGGTTCTCGAGATGGGCTGCGGCTCTTCAACGGTCGTAGACATCGTCAACGAGAGGTACACGACAACCGAACGTATGAAACGTGAACGAATGGGTGAGGAGTAAGCACTTTGCACCGAACTACACGAGCTGTTGGCTGCGCGAGCGTCAAAGACAGAATGAAGCGGATGCGGTGGTAGGGCGGCCTTTTATAGCTGCCTCAGGTGTGTAGTCACGACGATGTCGTCGTAGCTCTGATCGTGGGAAAAGCAGGAGCCTGATCGTTCCCACACTTTGGCCACCTGTGGCAAAGTTAGCGCGTGCAGCTGCCCGCGTGCTGTCTTGCTCTGCTGACGTCTCTCTCGCACACGCCCGAGACTTCGCGACCTGTCAAAAGGCGCCCGTCGGACGCGTGAGGCCAGATCTTTAATCACTTTTATTATTAGTGGGTAAAAAGGGACGCGTATAGGTACGACTTTTATACGCGAGCGAGGTTTTTTTTCCACAGATTTTTTGTATTGGGTGGCGCCGTTTCCAATAGTTTTGATAAGTTTTGGTCACTTTTGGTTAGGGTGCATTTAAGATATATGATATGGGTATAATAATATTAAAAATTATTTTTGCGGAAAAAACAAAATACTTGGTTCAAATAGGTTAAGCTCAATTTGAGCATAAGTAAGCTTCACATATACTGAAGGCTATGTCGGCGTAAAATAAAAATGGCATATTCTCAATATCTCAAGTCTCTTTTGACAAAGGGAAATGCTTCGTTTGAGTATTATTAAATATTCATGGCTTTATTTCAAAATTTTAGATATAAGAACTTGAATACACCGATTCTTGTTAAACATATGAAGTTTGTCTATTTAAATGAGCGTAATCTTATATTTTTTGCTAGTGTTAAATTAATTAGATATATACATAAAAATATGCATATAGTTTCTTTAAATCATGCATTATGTCAATTACTTCCAAGTTTTGTTTGATCTTATCCCAGTTTTATATTGAGAGGAGGGGAAATATTTTTAAAGTACATTTTTGTATAATTTTCGGATTCTGGAAGTCCCCAACTTTTCAATGTGTCGCCTATATTTATTGTTTCACAATCCTTACACCTTACACCGGTAAAAACTGAAACTGCACTAAAAGGTAGTATGACCAATCGTTACACTTCGTCAGGCTTGGTGCAGTCACGATATGCGACCATCTCAAACCAGTCAGTAGTGTACGTATATACACTATAATGGAAAGTATATTTTAAAAGAATTTTCAAATTGAGGATGTCAAACTTATTACATCAAGGATATCATAATTTTGAGACAATTATTTTACGGCACAACCATATTTTCAAATCGAAAGTATGTTAGGTTTTGTCGTTTTCATTGAATATTAGGTCGTTTAAAACAGAAAGTAATACATTTTCAAAATAGGTATATTGTTTCTCGCTGTAAAATTAGATATTATCATTTTAAGGAACCAACACTTTACAAATAAAAAGATGATGCAATCTCAGAAGTAGAATTTGTAATTTAGGAATAAAAATTTAAAACATTTTAAAGCAAGACGATTTACTACAATGAAAAAAATATCTTATTATATTAGCATATTAAAATTCTTAATTTAAAAATACTTAAATTAAAATCGAGTAGAAAATATTGAAGATATAATATAATAATTTACAATTAAGAAAAGTTGCGACCAGTCTATTTTGTTCATTGTCGGGAAAAGGCCTAACTTGCTATTCGCCGAAGAAGGTAATAACACGAAAGCTAAAAATAGAATAGCGACGACTGAGAGGACACAAATAATAGGGAACCTATTTATTTATTGTGTGAGACGTAAATAATATAACAAATATTCTTCTTGTTTATCCAACAGCTTTTCACCTCGGACTTCTCTCATTATATTAACTATCTCAGATCACATCAATTTGCAGACAACTTTCAACAATATCTCAGTTTTAATTTTTCGGGTATCGACATTATAGAACATCAAATAAATCATGATCTACAGAGTGCTAGTGACATCTCCATTGCAACTTAACAAATCTATATTGTCACTTTCAAAGTAATCCCCATCGACTGTAGTACACTTATGCGGGGGCTTGATCAAATCCTGGAAACATTTTTCATGTTCGATTTTCGGTATGCCCATAAATGCTTACTGCGATTTTCTATTACTTCGGTTTGGCTGTTGAAACGCGTTTCCCGTGGTTTTCTGACTCGGTTGAATAGAAAAGAGTTACAGGGAGCCAAATCAGGTGAATTCGGTGGCTATTGAATGGTAGTTGTTGCATTTTTCAACAAGGAACTCAAATCAGAACAACGCGTGCGCCACACAGTGGTTATTCCTGAAACTTTTTGATGAAAGAGCTATTTCTCTGTTGATGTGCATTCGTTTTATGTCACTAGTAAGATCGTACTGTTTATATATTTATTCCAACATTTCTTATATTTGTTTATCTTGTTTTTTTCTTTGTAATACTACGTTGTTAGTAACTGTGATTAGAATGAGTAGCTGCAAGTTAGACCTCGCTACTCCAATTACATTTTTTTTATGTAGTGCCTTCAATACGAAAAATAAAGGCATAATTATGTAATAACTTGGCTTGTTTTACAGAATTTATGTATGTATAATGTACAATTTAAACCTTGGACAATACGTGTTTCAAAAATTTTTCTGTACACCGTCAAGCGCCCAACTGTGACTACAGTAAAGGTAAAATAAGGAGTTTCCAAAGCAACGTCCAGTACGCTCAGATCTCTAGTCTCTGTAAAACGCTCGAGTGCATTTGTAATTCGATATGGAAAATCAATAATTTCATTTTTTAAAGAAACTTGAACAGGCTACTGTAATACACTTAACCTCTCAAGAAGCCAACAGGATGATTGGCAAAACGTTAGCAAGGAGGACTCCAGAACACTAGCCTGTGGAAGTTTCTTAAAAAAAAGAAATTATTGATGTTCCATATCGAATTACAAATAATAATAATAATAACAATAATAATAATAATGAATGGCCTTTATTAAAACACAACAAAAAGAATATACCACAATACAGTTTAACAGGTGGCGAGGTCTAGCAGGACTACTCCACCTGACCACCAATACATTGTAGTAGAATATTCAGAATTTAATAGGAAAAAAAATAACAAAGATAAATAACTCTCTTAAATCCACCTAAATTCAATGTAAAAAAAAAGAAAGAAAGAAAAAAATAGACCCTGGAAAATGCAACGGCAATATTCAAAACCGACCAAAAAATTAATAAAAGAAAAACAAAAAGAAAAAAAATAAATGAAACTTCTCGTTCTGCATAAGCCAACAGGATGATTAACGAAGCGCCAGCAAGTTTGATTTATAAACAACCGACGTAGCATGAATCCAGAAGAATTGTAAATAGTATTCCTGTTTTCGTCTGAAACTCAGAACCTTACATTTCCTTATATTAAAATGCAAAACTAATTTTGGAATATGCCTTACTGAAATCGGTATATACGACGTCTATTTGTCCATCGGTGTGAAGTTAGCAGCTAAAAGTTGGCAGCCAAAATTACGGAAAAAACCGAAGAACCAGTGGCGGCGGTTATTTCTGAAGCAGTTTAGGAAGCAACTGATTTAAATTAAATAGATCTCTCGCTTTCGTTTCCAGAGAAAATATTCCGTTGCAGCCCCGTACAAGGGTTGCGATAGGGTGAAACTAAAAATTTATAAATATGTATTCTTACTAATTTAATCCAAATATACGCACTTCCATTTCTGATATGAAAAATGTTTCCACAAAGGTAAGCTTTCGTTTCCAGTAAAAATATTTCTTAATGAAAATGTGTCCACAAAGGTTGGCTTTCGTTCCTAGTAAAAATATTCTATTGCACTGCTGTACGGGAGTTGCAATAGGGTGAAACAAAAAAGTTTTAAATATTTTCTCTACTCAAGTCGAATTTTATAAACTTTCATTTCTTGATGACAATATTACCACAAAGGTTACTTTCGTTTCCAATAAAAATATGCTCTTGCACTCCCGTACGGGAGTTACTATAGGGTGAAACAAAAATTTTTAAATACGGGAGTGCAAGAGAATATTTTTACTGGAAACGAAAGTTGACCTTTGTGGACATAATTTCATTTCAGAAATGAAAGTGAAAGTAAATTTGGAGTAAATTAGAAGGAATATATATTTATAACTTTTTAGTTTCACCCTATAGAATATTTTTTCTGTAAACGAAAGCGAGAGATCTATTTAATTTAAATCAGTTGTTTCCTAGACTGGTTTAGAAATCTCCGCCGCCACTGGTTATTTCTTTAATTTTGGCTGCCAATTTTTAGCTGCTAACTTCACACTTGTTTTGATTATTTAGTACTATTAAACTGTACTAGATTATAACCCGTATTAGACCAGGAGCTATAAAAGCAGAATTGAAAATACTTGGGATATTGTGAAAAATATATTAGCTTCTAAATAGATTTAGACTTTGCCTATAGGCTAAGACGACTGAACAGAAATCAGATCCTCAAGCAGCGTGTTTTCAACACCTACCTACCGAAAACAATGTTTATTTTGCTCTAAAGTATTTAGTCCTGTTTTACTCTTTTATCAGCTAAACAAAATAGCCACAATTTTTTGACTATGCAAATCCGCAATAATTTGATTTTATATAATTTTATGTATCTTTTTTGGCACATCGCCCAAATAATCAACAATCAGTTTTTAAAACACTTCAGTTTTGGCCGAGAAGTTATAGCGTTTGACTAGCAATCAGATTCTCTCATGCTGCGTAGGTTCAAAACCTGCGAGAAACGAACTTTATTTTGCTTAAAAATAGGGGCATATAGATTTCTTTTTATTCTTTTGTTCTTAGAGGGTTGCTGCACGATTTAGATTTTCTAACTTTTTATTATTTATTTTGTTTAATTTTTCAGCGTCATGTTCTCGATAGTGACAAACCAACAGTACCAATTGATGGCACGATTCCTAGCTGGAAATTAATAAAGATATGAATAATAATCATAATAATTGGTACTATCTCTATACCGAAAATAATAAAAAATTGATGGCTCTACATTCATTTTAAACTTTTTTTGTTGCACGTTGAGTGTGAATACTCTTCCTTCAGGGATTCCTTTAGGGATATTTTCTAAACGAGTAGCTTTTATTCCTTCAAAAGTGTTGCGGATTTCAAGGGAAACTTAAGAATTATTTATTCATAAAA